TATATATTAAGTCCATTTGTTCAAAGATTGGTTTCTTTGATTTTTTGTTTAGTTGATCTGTTTGTGACAGTGGGTGCCTCACCATACTGTTATTGATGTGTATTATCTTTTATGTCCATTAGTTTTATGAAGTTGGGTACACCATGGTTTGGTGCATATATGTTTGTATTTGTTACCTCTTCCTGTTGAGTAGTTCTGTTAGCCAATAGTATGTATGCAATGTCCTTCTTTGCCTCTTTTGATCAGCTTCCACTTGAAATGTACTTTGTCTGAAAATAGGATAAGCTACTCTTGCTTGTTTTCAGGTTCCTGCTGTGTGGAATACTGTTTTCTAACCTCTGGTTTCTAGTCTATGAATTTTTTTTTGGAGTGTTAAATTGTTTCTTGTATACAGCATGCCTTTAGATTTTCTTTCTTGATCCATTCTGCTAATCTGTGTCTTTTGATTGGCAACTTGAGTCGATTTACATTGATGGTTGTAATTGATAGGTATTGACTTATTCCTGTCATTGCATTAATTTCCTGTTGCTGTTTTGCTTTCTTTCCCTGATACTTAATTGCTAGCCCTACCGGATGTATTCATTTTATTGGACCTTTTGTCATTGTTGGCTTCACTGGCTCCTTCTAGGATGTCCTTGAGTATTTTTTGGAGTATTTGTTTGGTGGTCCTGAGTTTCTTTAGGTTAAGGCAGGCCACCGAAGAACCGTTGAGCTAAATCCCTGGCCCTCTCCAACAATTTTGAAAGGTGAGTTTGCAGGATAAAATTCCTGGGTTGGAAGCTGTTCATTCTCTTTAAGAGGTTGAAATACTTCATTCCAAGCTCTCCTTGCCTTTAAGGTTTGTATGGAGAAATGTGTTGTAATTTTGATAGGTTTTCTTTTACAGGTGATTTTTGCTTTTCTCTACCAGCCCTTGAGGTTCTGTTTATGTGCTGTAGTTCTGGTATTTCATTTATTATGTGGTGTGGAGTAGTATTTCAGGGTTCTGTATGCTTCACATATTTGTATGTTAAATCTTTTTCCAAGTCTGGGAAGTTTTCTGCTATTACTTGTGTAAACAGTTTTTCTTTTTTTATGCTCTTTGGGTTGTTTTCTGATTTTTTGTTAATTTCAATTATTCTTTCGTTAGTCTTTGAGTCATTTAGGAGATGCAGGATCCATTTTTCATGTTCCCTTATTATTTTTAAGGTACCTCTCATTAAGTGATTGTTGACCACAGCCCTGTCCTCTAGGTCTGACATTCTGTCTTCACATTAGCTGCTTTTGCTACTCATACTTTCCATCATGTTTTTGACCTCTTTATTGCTGTTTGAAGCCTTTTTATAGACTCCTATTCTTTTTCATGCTGGGCATTCATGTTTTGTGTTTCCTTGTTTAGCTCCACTAGCTGTTTATTAGTGTCTTCGCTAGATTAGCTGATCATTTGTTGTTATGGTCATTATGTGATTAGTTATATCTTCTTTAAATTCACCAAGAACATTATAGAACAGCTTTACCTCCACTGGTATCCTTTCAGATCTACATGCTCTATGACTTATGAATTACTCCCTCTCAATGGTCCTTGTACTGATTTTAGGGCAGTTAGGAGTTTTGGGAGGCATTTTGTTGCCTTGTCTTTTGATATTCCCTTTTTTTTTGTTTGATTGCTTGTTTGTTTTTTTGTGCTGTAGTTTGCAAATTCTTAGGGCCAGCGCCTGCTTCCTTGAGAGTGAGCCACAGTATTGTTTGCAATGTTACAGGCATGCAGTAATGACATGGAGAGAAAATCAAATGCCCTCCCACACATTCTTGTATCTTTTCATTCTTCTAATGCTAGTAACAACTAACATTTAATAAGCATAGATTGTATGCCAGGTTCTATATTAAGCACATTTACATATTACCATATTTACTCCTCTCAGGAACTTTCTGAGGTATATACATAATGCTATCATCCTTATTGTAGAAACAGAAAACTAAGGATTACAGAAATAATTTTCCCAAAGTCATACAGCCAATAGGAAACAGGGCTGGTATATCTACCAAATTTTTAACTACATACTGCATTGTCTTGTAACACTTAATATAAGATATTGTAATAATTTTTTAATTTATCCTCTTCCCAAGTAATCAAATCTATCTGGTAGGTACCCTGAAGACTGGGATCAAGACTTTCAGTTTTTACATGTCCTAAATATGTCATGTCTACCAATTAATAGAAGCTCAATGAATAGCTGCTAAATGAATTAATATCATTTAATCTAACAAGTGGGTAAGGAGTTATCAATTCCTGTTTATAAAGCAGATATATGAATGTTTTAGGATATTGTTAAATTAGTTTCTGTCTTCAAGTTAAATCATACATCTGTGCAAAGGGATAAATGATTTAATTTCTCTAAGAAGGAAAAAGCAAAAAAAATGTTTTTATATATTTACTGACTATTGAAAAGAAGGGTTTAAGTCTTCAAATACCATCACTTTTTCCTGAGGACAAATATAAATCCAAGAAGAAAAAGGTTATCTAGTAGGAAACAGCAATAAAATAAAAGCCTTAAGCAAGAAAACTTTCAAACAAGGTCAGCAGAATTCCTGAAGAAGAACTCCCAACTGTCTACACCATGTGGTAGACATGTCATAAGAAGATCTAGGCTAGACATAAAATACTCACAGCAGGGATATGCTGGTTAAATGAACTGAACTAAATTTCTACTTAGTTTATAACCTAAGCCCATAAAATGCTTGTATATAGGCACTACAGAATTAAAAGACTCGGGGGGGGCACAGATCAGATTACATTATAACTAAAAGTTTAAATTACAACAAGATAAAATCTAACCTACTCTAGATATAAGGATAAACTCCTAACAACCAACATCCTTAGATTATGAAATTGTTATATGGAAAAAATTATAGTATATTTCTAAGAATATTAAAAACATTTGAAATATTTAATTCTACCTAAAGGCTACAGTATATAGTTACATAAAGGTTTTTCTAAGCCGCCAACACACACACACACACACACACACACACACACACTTCTTACTGCAGCAGTTTTTGTCAGATGGCTTTCAGATAATAGTATTATTTCACATCTCAAAGCAGGAGAAATCATGTGAGAATAAAATATAGGCAAAAAAAATACACATTCTTACCAGTATCCTCATTCTTTGTACTACAAAATAAACAGGATATTCAGCCTCCCACAATGCAGACTTTGCTTCAGCTTCTAAAGTCCAACAAAGTAATGCAACAGTTTGCAAACTAAGAAATACAGACAGGACAGGAAAAAATGATTTATCATCCAAAGGTTATGCTGGCCTCTGTAGTTATTTGGAAAATATTCCTTGTTTTCCATTCTGTGGAAGAGTTTACGTAAAACGTGACGTTATTTCTTTCCAGTGATATATTTGAAAAAAAAACCTCAGTGGAGAACAATCCTGGATTTTTGGGAAATTTTCTTTTTCTTTTTCTTTTAATTCCTTTCAATGAAAGGTATTACTGTTTTCTATTTCTTCTTGTATCGAGCCTAGTTTTCTTTTATAGGAGGTATTTTTGTCTATTTCAACAAAATTGTCAAAGTTTTTTATTGTAAAGCAGTTCCCTTATATTATCATTTACTGTCTGTAGGTCTTGTAGTAGTGGTTCCTTTTCCATTTCTGATATTGACAAATCATGCTTTCTCTCTTTTCCTTTTACTGATTAGTAAAAGTATTATGTTCCTGGAAAAATGAACTGGTAAAGAAATAACTGGACTTCGTTTTCTCCGCCACAATTTGTTTTCTATTTCATTGATTTCTGCTCTTATCCTGATGGTTTCTTTTCCTTTTCCTTACCCTATTTACAGTTTTTCTAAGTTTCTTAAGATGGAAAGTTAAAACACTGATTTTTAGTTTTGCTTGTGTAATAACTGTAATCAAAGCTCTATTTTCTCTAAGCAGTTTTTTAGCTGTTTCTGACAAGTTTTGATATATTTATCTTATTATTGTCTTCAAAGTATTTCCTAAGTTGCACTGTAATTTTATCTTTCACCAAGAAGTCTTTAGAAATGTACTGCTTCACGATTTGTAGTTTATTATCACTACTGTCAGATAAAATATTGTGAAAATGACCCAGAATATAGTCATTTTTAGAAAATATTCCATAAGCATTTGAAAATAATATATTCTTTTCACTATTCAGTGTTTTTACAAATATATTTTTGCTCCTTTTTTGTGGTTTTTTGAGACAGGGTCTCACTATGTAGTTGAGACTGACCTGGTACTCACTATGTAACCCAAGCTGGTCTTGAACTCACAACGATCCTCCTGCCTCTGCCTCCCGAGTGCTAGGATTACAGGTGTGCACCATCATGCCCAGCTTGTTTTTGCCTTTTTTAGAGGAGTATAGTAAAGACATGGGCTTAAAATAACATTCTGGAAAATGAAAACCATAGAGACATTGCCCAGGGTTAGGGAGGGATGAATAGGGAGAGCACATATGATTTTTAAGCCACTACTCTTTATGGACACATATTGTCATATACAGTATTTATCAAAACTTATATAATATATAACACCAAGAGTGAATCATAATGCAAACTATGGATCTTGGGTAATAATGTGGCAAATTGTACCAGTAGTGGAAGGTGTGCATATGTGGGGAAAAGAGGTACATGGGAACTATTTCTACTCACTTTTGCTGTGAACCTAAAACTGCTTTAAAAAATAAAGTATTGAAAGAATGAAACCACTGAAAAGTAGTAGCTCTTCACCATCTTCAATATTCTACTCAGTTCACAAATAGTTGTTACCAGTGTGGATCAGAAGGCAAAACCATTGCTGGATTATTCCCTTCTTACACCCTCCCCCCACTTCTCTGGGGGTGGTGGAGGTGGCTGGGGATTGAACTCTGGTATGCTAAGCACAGGATGTACACTGAGCTATACTCTTTGCATGCATTGTGTTATTTCTTAGATTTGACTTTCAAAAATATCTTAACTGCTAATTTATAGCTCAGAATGGGGACTGAAAAAAACTTACTTTTCAGTTTTCTTCTTTTGTTCCTTTTGCCGTTTTTGTTCTTTTATTTGTTCTCTTTCAATGTCCATAAAAAGTCTTCTATGTCTCAGGTATTGCTTTTGACGCTAAAGTAAAGTAGTTAAATCATTAAAATTCTCTTTTCAGAGGAATTCCCAAGAAAGCAAACTATTCTTATGATATAGACCAGCAATCCCCAACCTTTTTGGCACCAGGGACTGGTTTCCTAAAAGGTCATTTTTCCACTGACAGGAGATGGGGTGTTCGAGGGTGGGTAGGGTAATGTATGGTTTCAGAATGATTCAAGCCAGTTACAAGGCTGTAAATGCAGAAGAAGAACCCTAGCTCACCTGCCATTCACCATGTGCTGTGCACCCCTGTTCCGAGCCAACCCCTCCCACTGTCTCAAGGTTACAGACCCAGGCTGTAGACAGTAAGATCATATAAGTACATATTTATAGTGTAAGCACGCATTTATAATGGCTTCAAAAACTTAAATACCTAGGAATGAACCTAAGCAAGAAGTGAGACTTCTAATGAAAAACATAGTTTTAAAAGAGATCAAAGACATCAGAAATTGGAAACACGAGCCAATATTGTCAAAATGGCCATATTACCAAAATGATACATAGATTTAATGCAATCCCAACCAAAGCACCAACAGCATTCCTCACTGAAGTAGAAAAAAATACCCTGAAATTTATATGGAACCAGAATAGCAAAAGCAATACTGGGCAACAAGAGCAAAGCAGAAATTCACTATCTTGAATTTCAAGTTATATTATAAAACTACAGTGATAAAAACAGCATGGCACTAGCACAAAAACAGATATGTGGATCAGTAGTACAGAATACAGGATTCAGAAACAACCACAGGCATGTTCAGTCATCTGATCTTTGATGAAAGGATCAAAAGCTTAATACTTGAGGAGAAGAGGCTCTATGATAAATGGTGCTAGGAAAACTGGCTGTGTATATGAAGAAGATTGAATCTAAACCCTTATCTCTCACCATGTACTAAAATAAAATAAAAATGGATCAAAGATCTAAATATTAAAAGAGAAACAATGGGATATAAGAGAAAATAAGTAAAACTCCTAAAGACAAAGGCATACATAAGGAGTTTCTGAACAGAATCTCAGTTGCACAAGAAGTACATCAAGAATCAACAAATGGGATTATATCAAATTTTAAAACTTCTTCATAGCTAAGGAACAACCAACACAGTGAAGACACAGCCTACAGAATGGGAATTTTTTTTTTTTTTTGCTAACAATTCCTCAGATAGAGGACTGATATTTAGAACATAAAAAGAACTAAAATAAAAATCAGATTCCCCAAAATAAGAGAGCCAGAGCAGTAATTGTTTATTTCTATTTGCACTCTTTCCCACCTAAGTGCATGCTACAACCAGAACCCATAAAAGACGCCATAGACATGAACATGAGCTCTCTTAAGCCCTAAAACTATCTTTTTGATGGAATTTGCTACACATTTCAAATGACAATACTGGTGAAGTGAGTTAACAAGTGTTGCACAAAGTACAACTAAATCTTAATGAAGATCCTTGATTCCAGCTGACCCTCTATAAGTTGTAAACTAAAGGCTAACAAAGATGATACCTTTAAAGCTGGGGATTTAGCCCAGTGGTTCTGCTGCCTACCTTGCAAGCATAAGGTCCTGAGTTCGATCCCCAGTACCAAAAAAAAAAAAAAAAAAAAAAAAAAGATGATCACTTTAAAGTGGATAGTGATGAAAATGAAAACAAGTTATCATTAAGAACAATCAGTTTCAGGGCTGGTGGAAAGGATGTACTGCACATTGTCATTGTCAAGCAGAGGCAATGAATTACAAAGGCAATGCAATTAAGTTAACATCAGCAAATTTGAAAATGTCTGTACACCCAATGGTTTCCCTATGGTTTTAAAATTGAAGTGTGGTTCAGGGCCTTTGCATTTTAATTCCCAGCTCTTAGCAGCTGGGGAGGAAGATGCAAAGTCAGAAGATAAAGAGGATGTAAAATTCTTAAGTTTATCTGGAAAGTGATCAGCTCTTGGAAGGGTAGCAAGTTTCCACAGAAAAAAGTAAAGCTAGCTACTGATGAAGATGATAATGATGATAATGACAAAGATGATGTCTTTGATGACAAGGAAATTGAAAAGAAAGCATTAGTGAAGAAATCTATGTAAGATATTCCATCCAAAAATGCACAAAAATCAAATCAGAATGAAAAATTCTCAAAACCATCGAGATGACCAAGATCAAAAGGTCAACAATACTTCAAAAACCAGTAAAAAGCTCCTAAAACACCCAAAGGATCTAGTTTCATACAAGTTATTAAAGCAAAAATGCAAGGAAGTACAGAAAAAAGTGGTTCTCTTCCCCAAAATGGAAGCCGAATTCATCAATTATGTGAAGAATTGCTTCCAAACAACTGACAAAAGGGCTATTCAAACTTTCTGGCAGTGGAGAAAGTCTCTTTAAGAAAACAGTTTAAACAGTTTATTAAAATTTCCTATCTTTCTTTATTTCTATAACTGTTATTTGGCTGTCCTTTTTAATAATGCAAAATGAGAACTTTCCCTACCACATTTGATTAATGTTGTCTAGGTTCCAGGATGTGTGTCTAAAATGCCTGTTTAATTTTTAAAGCTGGAACTTCACCCTTTGCTTGGCTTTACGTATGTATAGAATGTTATGGACATAGTAGTACTGGTGGTCAGACATGCAGATAAGCGAGAAGACAAAAATACACGTAAGAAATATACTCAGTATTTTAGTAATGTAAAACATTTTTTTTTTTTAAAAAAAGAGCAAAGCAAAACATGGGCAACTGATACGAATAGAAACTTTTCATAAGTACAAATAGCTAATAAACACATGAAAAGATGCTCGATATTTGTCCATTTGAGAGAAATGCAAATTAAGAAGATACTTCCATTTTACTCCAGAAAGAATGCCTATCATCAAGAAATCAAGTAATAACAAATGCTGGTGAGGCTTTGTGGGGAAAAGGAACCCTTCTATACGGCTGGTGAGAATGTAAACCAGTACAACCACTATGGAAGTTAGTATAGAGATTCTTCACAAATTTAAAATTAGAAATTCCATTCAACCTGCCTATACTTCTAGATATCTTACCCAAAGAGTTAAAGACATCATATTACATTGATACATGCATACTCATTTTTATAGCAGCACAACTCACATTAGCTAGATATTAAAAGCCACCTATATGTCCAGCAAGAGATGAATGGGTAAACAAAATGTGGCATATATAAACAATGGAGTACTACTCAGCCATATATTTCTGTCATTTGTAGGAAAATGGATACATCTTTAGACTATAACGATGAGTGAAGTAAAACAGATACAGAAGTTCAAATATCGCATGGTTTCTCTTATAGAAGAAAACCAAAATACAAATAATTTAAACAGCAAAATAAAAGATTGATGGTAAGAAACAGGGAGAAAGACTATGTAGACATAAGTAAAGAATCTGAGGATGTGGAGAGACTGGACAGAGGGAAGAGAAAGGAAAAGTAAAAAGGATGAAGATGTGACATTTATATGTAACAGTACTCCACAATGAATGCATTTATTATATATCACAAGCATATACTAAAAAGAGAAACTTTAAAGTGAAAAATATACAGAACAGAACTAAGTCCTTAATTTCCTTCTGTCTCTCATGACTGACGGTAATAATGCATACAACAATTTTATACTTTTAAGCACATACCTATTGTATGCTAAAACAAATGATAGAAATAAGCCTTAATTTAGTTTGTTCTTAGTACGGTCTCATCACTAGTAGTAAAGAAAATGATTATATTTGATATAGTAAGATATATACTACATTTATTCTGTGCACCCAAGGAGTAAGTAGTATAAAAAGCTGGGACCACAGAAAGAATGTGGGAGGTATTTATAACAGAACATCCCTAAATTTTGAAAATTAGAATCATACCATAAAAACATACTAAGCCTAGCATAACATGCCAGGAAGGAGAGAAGAATAACCAAAGTTTATCAAAATATCGTACTCATAAATGGAACCAGTACAATAAAATCAAGTGCTAGAACACTGTACTGTGTGTAATATGCTCATTCCTCTGGATTTATATATTCTTTTTTCAGGACACAGGATGCTCAAAAGGCTAAATCATATTTATGCATCTACTAGGGCAGTCTATGGCTTTTTGGTAAAAATTATTAAAAGTCTAAATAGCAGTTTCCAATACTAAGGATACATCAGAATCACCAGTGGTTATTTTTTAAAAAACACAAATGTCCCCAATATATCTTTTTCAGGTACTGATAATTGGTTGGGGTTCAGGCATCTACATTTCAAAAAAAAGCTCCATATTCGATTCTGGTACATTGTAGAGTTAAAAACTCTTAGTTTAAACTAACTTTACATCGCCAAGGAAATACCAAATGTTCCTTTAAGTTATAATGGCAAATATATACTAGCTGGAGAAATTCACATCAATGTACCCTAAATCATAGGAATTTAGAAGAAAAGTTCAACATACATGGTATGATCACAATATACAGTAAATGTTTACATTTTTAAAAATTATTACAGAAATGGTGGAATGATGAGCAGGAGAAGGAGCCTCTCTGAGATTTGGTGTCCTGACACCGGAATAGAGTAGCACAATAAAGAGAAGGAAGAAGGAAAGAAGTCCCTGGGACCCAGGAAGGATCTGAGGCAAGAGTTGAAGTCTACAGGGAGAGTGAGGAGAGAGACTTTAATGAAGAGAAGGGAGGTACCAAGCAGAGCTCTCTCTCAGAGCCCAGACTCTCCACAAGGGAACAGTGGGCCAAAACTGCAGATGAACAGTGACTAGTGACAACCCCAGAGGCCTCCACAAGAAACACACCAGTGGAACAGAGTAATGGACAAACCAGACTGCAGCAGCTGGTGAATTATCTAGGTTCAGACCTCATCTAGGAGAGGGTGATTGGCTAGTGGCCATCTTGGAGAGGGGGACAACTGAACTCAGAACAGCTGCAGGTGGAATCCACCTAGTGGCTTCTGCTGCCTCAGTGTGGGTGCTGAGCTCAAGTCAGCAGGAAGTCAGGGAGTGATTTCAAGCCA